ATCATCTCTGTTATCCATCCTGAAACGATCGCAATACGAACTTAATGTAAAAAACATACACAATTAGCTCTCGTCAGGTCGACCTGAATGAACTGTACGGTCGACCTTATTACTCAATAACAAACATGAGGTCGACCAGAATTTACTGAAAGGTCGACCTAATCATATAATTACAAAAGCACGGTCGACCGGATGGTAAGGGTGGTCGACCGGATGGTAGGAAATATTTAACCACATACAGGCATTAACAAGCACATACGAGACATACCTTAGCAAAGAGGTCGACCACTTATTGTTACGTTCTACCGGAATAAAAATAAACCGCCACCAACACCCGATCACAATAAGAGCGATGATATTACAACTTCACTCCAACAAATTGCATAAATCGAAGTACGATTAAAGTTTTCAGACTCCCATCTATTTATAGATAATGTAGACGAATTCCTTATCCAATTGGTGAAAGATATATAAAATCATAATTCGACAAGGACAAGTACACAAAATCCTAATTGTACAAGGACATGATTCATTAAGGTCGACCTCTTTTCACAAATGGTCGACCGTGTTGGGTAAATGTGAAACATGTCGACCTCTTTACTGAAATGGTCAACCATTGTTTATAAATGTGAAACAGGTCGACCTCTTAACAAGAATGGTCGACCGTATTTTATTAAGGCCAAACTGACGAGATTCCATCCATGTTCTACATGGTTTTTGACTTTGCTACGGTATCATAGGTCGACCTTTTGCGTCACGAGGTCGACCTGCGCTCTGCCTTTGGGTATGCCCGCTTTGAGTATGTGGTCGACCACTTGTTCTAGACGATTGAAATCGTAAATTCAGTCACATCCATAATTGTATAACAAATCTAATAAACGATAAACATTCAAAATCCAAAATGAAACGATCTCGCAAATACAAATTCAATGTATGGTCCAAATAATGCAACATTGTAACTTAACGACTTCATTTCTTTGCTTTTTTGTTTGAACTCTGTCTCTCTTTGCCTCGTTCCATGCATTCATCTACTACATGCTTGAAAAGATTTTCTCGTGCAAGGTTTTCAAAATGTGTAGCCAGATACCATAGAATCTCCTTTCGCGCCGGTAATTTGTGTTCTTCTCCTATCTGCATTATGCCATGTAAGATTTCGTTACAACTAAAAAAAGTGTAAATGAAACAAGTTATTTGTTTGACGATATACTCACCACTCTATCAAGATCCTTGGATCCATAGCGCATCCACTGCATGACGTGCACACCACACTCAGTACTATTCCTTTGCCGTTGAACGCAAAGCTCATCAAAATTGAAATCTCCAAAATTTGGTACTCCTACATTGCTCATGCGCTCCGGTTTGAAAATATCACCCAAATTGGACAACTACACACAAATAATGAATATTTTTAGTTTCTAGCATCATACGTGACGCTTAACAGTCAGAAAATTATAGAAAACACTTACCAATTTCTTGCATAGTGCTGATTTACGCCTACGATTCGCCTCACTAGTTGAAGGTAGACTGTCAAGCAAAAATGCAGTTTTTTGCTGGACATTGACGAGATACAGAAACCAATGACGTGCTTAATCGTCAAGAACTGGCATAAATATCTAGCAACGAAACACTCACTATATGTTATAAACAGCGAATACAAACAAATGCACTTTCGAAATTTAATGATATAGTGACATTGACTAGACTAACCTTCTGGCATGCACCGACATTCGGCATAAAGACCACGCCATCATTCATCAACTTGTTACGAATTTGTCTGGTCTTCATGTTAGCGCGTACCATTTTCTGCAGCATGTTTTAGTTGAGATGAATTGACATGGTACAATATAAATAACTAGGTTATGACAAATAATTTGACATTACGGCTCTTACCGAAAACATATTTGGCAAATACCACACATTTGGCTCTTTCACATCATGTTTTTCAGACATTGTTAGTGCCCTTGCACACAAATCCACTACCTACCATCCAACAATCAAACACAAAATCATGGTAAATCGTAACATAAATAGTGCACAATTCATACGAAAGTCGTAGTAGTATAGTACTTACTGATGAGCAAACCCAGCTATTCTCGCTAATGACCGAACTCAAATAATGTCGTTGCACGTTTTCAGAAAAAAAGTCCACAACGGTCAAACTGCAAAAATCAAAATAACAGAAATGTCAATTGTGATTTGCAACGTACAGGTCGACCTGTTCATAGTCACGGTCGACCTTATTGGAAAAGCGGTCGACCTCATAACTGATCCGGTCGACCACACGTACTAAAAAACGTCTTACTTGTCCCAATTCTTGTCCCCATCCTTCTCTTTAGTAACAACATAATACAAGTCTTCAACTGGATTTTGAAGATTTTTGGTGAATCCTTCTAGACCCTCCACTTTCATGACCTACAAATCATAGTTAAAATTAAAGTAACATATGAACACAAACACACATTATAGATGAATATGTAACGTAAACTTACCCCGTGCTTTTCGAAAGGACTCTTAGATTCTTCTTCATCGCTATCATCACTAAATAATCCTTTTCTTACAAATTGATCCTTCTGTGGAGTGGTGTAGGAGTCACTTTCATATCGAGGTCTCTTGTACTTAGGAGAGGAACCCTTGCTGCCATTCGTTGTTTCACTCTGTCAAACATATAAACAAAACAAATTAGCACTAATGATAGTAATACTAATATCTTCAATCACATATGAATATACTTGGATACCTTTAAAATGTGCTCTTTCAATAAATCGTCTATGCTCTGGTAGCAATTTTCAGAGTCATCATGGTCTTCTTCCTCTTTACCAAAGTCAAAATTAGGTCCTTTACCATTTCTTCCGCCATTCTCCATTCGTTCTGCACTTATATATTTGATAGCACCTTCTAGCCTCTCAAACCCGTCATGCATCATCCCAGTCATATCTGTCAGTCGAACTGACAATTGCTCCACTCTATCACACATGGACTTCTGAAAGTCATTGACTTGTGTTTGACACACCACCAGCTTCTCTTGTGTGGCTTTCAACAATTTCATGATTTTACCCAAATCTTGATGCAGTTTCTCATCATGCGTCATTGTCTAAACAATTTCAAGAAAAATTTAAATCATAATTCAACTTCAAATTTCTACAATTGACCAAAAAACAAATACGTGGTCGACCTGACATAGTATTAGGTCGACCTGGAAGACAAATAGTGACTACCATAACCATTAAGGTCGACCTCTGTTATTCCTAGGTCGACCTATCCAGCAGGAAAATAACAATTAACAACAAAAAGTAAGTTCTAAATTAAACCGAAAAAAGGATAGGTCGACCAGATTTTTGACGCGGTCGACCTTTTGAAGCACAACATAGTCATACAATCAAAGCCAAAGTCGACATTCAGGTTGAATAACCAAAAAAACAGGAACGGTCGACCTTGAAACCCATTAGGTCGACCAATTGGGTTACCTCGCAAGTACAGAAATCCAAGTGTTGTGGCCTAAATTCAAATACGCAGAATTGTCTCGTCAGGTCCACCTGATTGACGTCACGGTCGACCGAATGGAATTCTGCACCCAACAATATATCAAATTAGCCGGTAGAAATCACGCATTAGAAAAGAAGACGACGAATGGTACATTAGGTCGACCTCACCTTAGCCCTGGTCGACCACTTCCAACACGTACAACAGCAACCGCGAACGATCTTCTTCACAAAGTCTCTTAATCGGAAAAAAACCTAATTCAGACTTGGAGGCGTTGAAGGGGACTAATATTCGTATTTATAGAGATTTGGGACGTCAATGGGTCGACCCAATTCGTTTCCTTGTCCAATTGTGGAACCTTTCTGGTGTTGGAATCCATATCCAATACGGATACGGTGTGAAGGCGGTCGACCTCTTCCTAATGCGGTCGACCTGTTAGGTGCACAAGGGTCGGCCTATGAGATATTTGGGTCGACCTTTCATTCTGTTAGACCACCAAAGCGGTCGACCGTATTATGTAATAGGTCGACCGCGTCTTGGAATCCCACAAACATGAATTAGTCAATTCGGTCGACCGCCTTCAGCAATAGGTCGACCGAAAAGTCCATGTCACGGTGACATGCATGTCACCGTAGCAAAATCCAAAAGTTAAATATTGATGTTATTTGTTAGATTCAAGTATAAATGTCTAAGTATTGACGTTAAATGTCATTTTTAAATATGAGTATTTGTAATTTTATTTGTAATATTGACCGACAAGAACCGGTACAAACCGGTATGTGTCACCGGTCGAACCATTCCACTTGCTAAACCGGCACACTGGCATAAACCGGCTTGACAACCTTGGTTTTGATCATCCGTGGAGGAAGGAAAGACGATTGCGGGCGGAGGCAGAGAGAAGAGAAGGTCAGAGGGATGTGAGATAAAATTATTTATTGTTTTATTGTTTGTTTTATACTTTTAGATAAAAAAGACCATTAGGAATTTTTATTTATTTATTTATTTATTTATCCACCGAGAATTGTTAAAAGATAAATCAAAATGATGTGGCAATGATATTGATGACTTGTCGCTGACTGACGTGGGTGATGAGTTGGCAGCCACATCATCATTCCGTTAATTAGACTAACGGTGTCATTGACGCCGTCAAACTATGTAACGAAAATAACTATATTTGTCATCGAATTTTCAAAATTCTGGCTATTTCTGGTATTTCTCCAAAAGTGGCTATATTTGTCACAAACGTCGAAGTTTTGACTATACAAGTGAATTTGGCCTTTTTAAAATTGATATTGTTATTTATACTGTTTACGAAATATATCCGTCCAACAGCCGAACCCAAATCTAGGACTCACATAGTCACATGATCCACAAACCACGCAGCTAACTAATCACATCTATGATCTATGGATAATTGTAATGGCACGTTGGGCTCGTATCGGTCCGAAGCTGCGTTACAGAATGGGCCGAGCCGCTAGATCCAAAGTAGATCTATAGATGGCAGATGCCTAGAGAAAAAGCCCGAGAATGATCGGCCCAAACATATTTAAACTTTCAAATTTTTCAATTTAAATTAGAAACGTCAATTTGCATCTATCTCTCCACAAACCAGTACCACAGTTACCCTTTTAGCATATCCCGCCAACATTTTTTTTCTGATTCTTCATTTCCCGCCTCCCTGCTTGACATCTTTCTCCACTCCTCCCCACAGGCCACAGCCGCCGCTTCTAATCTTCTCCGAGATCCCGCTTCGAAATCTCTGACTCGACCGACGAATCTCTCGAACTGAATTGACGAAATGGCCGGTCAGTCTGGCTCTCAGCTCTCGCTCTTCACTCCCGACGAGGTTCGTCTTTCTGCGGGCATCCATTTCGTCCATGGCTAATATTCGACTGGCACAGGTTATTTACCGAGTAAAATAACTATACTTGCCTTTTATTTTGTTGCCTCGCAGGTGGAGTTCGTGGCGGAAGACGAGTTGGTCGAGATCGTCCCGAATCTGAGAATGGACTCGCTCAATTTCATCTGTGTATCTCCCCTCGTAACCCTAATTTTCCATCAGCTGAAACTGTTTAAATTTTGGCGATTACCTACTAATAGTAAATGTTACAGGGAGATTACGGCCCGTTCTATCCACAAATAGCCATTCAGGTTCCGTTGTGGTTAGCTCTTGCGCTGAAGAAGCGAGGGAAGTGCACGATTCGGCCTCCACAGTGGATGTCCATCGGTTAGTTCCAGTCAATTGAGGTTTCTTGTTTTTGATGCAATTCAATACAATTTCGATGCGCTGATCTCCTCATTTTGTTGAAAATCGAATTTTAAGATGCTTTATTGCTATATTTTGTGTGAATCAGAGAACTTGACTCAGGTGCTCGAAGGGGAAAGAGAATCTCATGCATTTCAGACATTGCCATTCCATTATGTCGAAATCTCCAGACTTCTTTTTGACCGGTAACTACTCGAGCTCTCTTAGTGTTCGTATGTTGACATGCCCAAGTTGAAAATCTGACTATAAGGTTTTGGATTTTGTGGTGGGCAGTGCACGAGATGACATTCCTGACGTATACATGGCAAGTTTTAAAATTTGGAATCAGATTTCTTCTCAGCCGTAGCTAGGGATTTTGTTGGAGTAAGGAACTTGATGTAGTTTTGTTAACTCTGTAGGTGAGATCGCTTGTTGAAGACATCCGGGATGTGAGGTTTCATAAGGTTGAAACAAACTTGGAAAACTTCACTGCATCTGCAGTAACGGTATGCTTCTTTTTTCATTCAATACTGGGGTAAAATTGCTAGCTTATTGAAGTTTAAGTACGCTAGAATTGCTCACTTGTGTGTCAAACTGGAACTTTATTGTAACTTAGCTAATATCAGGTGCTGACTTCTTGTAATATATGTTTTCCGTATGCTGCAGTATCACTTTTTTTTTGGGTAATGGTGATAGCTGCAGTATCACTTTTATCTTGTGTTTCTCTGGTCTGATAACCAATCTTGAGCTAAATCCATTAGTTTCTTTGAGGCTGGTGATCTCTCTCTCTGGATGGCGTTGCCGGTTGACATCTCATTGAACTCTTCCTTGGTATTGCAGTGGAAAAATATGGCTGCTATGGAAGTGAATATAATCCGAGCCTTCTCAGGGAGAGCTCTACAAGCATTTTACAGACACGAGAATGAGCAGGCCGTACCAGATCTTGACAGAACTCAAGATAGACAGCCCCAAAATCTTAATGACAGGCCTAGAGTATGTCGTTCTTTTTGCTGTTTTCCAATATTTCCACTCCACCATTGGATCGCTAAAATAGTGTTCATATCATGTTTGCTGGATTATTGCCCTACTATTGTTTTTCTTTGGAGGGCTTACTGTCTCTTTGTTGTTCCTTTGCAGCGTAATCTAAGGCCACGGTAATGTAGCATGGCAGATCAAGCTGGAAATACTAACCTCGACGAGAAGCCACACAAGGTAGTCTGCTTTCCTTTGATTACTTGGTGGTTCTCTGGCTATTATAGAGAAGTCTTGCCTAGGTAATTCAAATGACCAGATTCTCATGAACTAATGGAATCCTAGGTCAATATTTTATGGTGTAGTATTCAAATTGTGTAATCTTTATATGGGAATGCAATGGTCCAGCATATCTTCCTTCAAACTAGAAGTGGCTTGTCCATATCACATTTGATAATATTATCTGCCGAGGAGTCCAGGCTTGTGCATCAGAAACTACAACCTAGATCCCATCTCGGCAGTAAATTAGTCATAGCATTTTACTTGAACCGAAATGGTTGACATGTTCGTCATATCCAGATGTTTGGTATGACAGAAGCTTTAGTTATATTATAGTTGTTTAGGTTTGAATAATGCATTCTCGTTTGCCATTGTGATTAGTTTATTACCAGCTGCAATAATTAGATTCGCTCGTTTTCCTTCACCTTCATTTTTTTAGTGTGGCGATGATTAGAGAGACTTTCCTTTTTGTCAATGATTAGATTCCGGACAAGAGATGGGAATGAACACTAGGCAGTAGTTTATTGTTATAGTCGTCACATATTTGAAGCTTCGTACGTAGTATATAGACGACGGTCGAGGGAAAGTATATGGTGGTGCATTCCTTTTGGTGTAGCGCCTGCATTCCTTTTGAAGGATTATATGATACATTTTGGAGGTGGTTTAGGGAATATATAAGTAGTAAACAAAACTTTTGTCCTTTTTGCCAACAACCTAATCTGGGTGTTAGGTTGTCGGGTTAGGTTGTTGTCAGATAATTTTTTTTTATAAGGGTGATATAGGTTTGGTTTTTAATTAGGTTCTACGGTCTTAAAGGATTTAGATCTGAGACCTACAGGTCAAGACCTTATTTGAGGCAGATATTGGGGTGGGGAAGGTGTTGGGTAAATTACAAAAGTTCTTACTAGGACGAGAGAAGAGGAAATAGATCAAAATTAGTTGAACTCAATGATTGGTATTGCTCTAGGACACGACTTAAAACCCATGATTATCGTAGTAGGCCGATGAAGGAGGGTATAGTTGAAAACTTGAAAGTTTGCTGTGGGTGAACATGACTTGCACAAATGTTGTAGGGCATAGAGACTAACTGATTTCGTTTTGCTTTACATTATAAAAACGGGTAAAGAAGGGCAAATCGCCAAATCGGATCCCCTTTTGGTAAAGGAAATTCAATTGATGGAGGCTGCCAGGCTGCCAAACACAGCCATATAACCTGTTGTTTTCTTTTCAATAAGAAATCATATGCGTTGCCTTCAAGTGCCAATTGTTGAACCTTTTTTTTTTCTTTCCTTTCTTGGAGATATGATTTTTTGTTTGTTACCACAGTGTTCGGTTGGGGAACGGCTACGGTGCTAATTGTACAATAGTTAGCACCGTCCTAACTAAGGGAAAAACTACTACTAGTTTAAATTAGTAGTGATTTAGCTTAGATGTTGTATTGATTTTATAATAATCCGTAGTGATTTCGTTATTTTTAGTAGCGTTTTTTGCTAGTTATCACGGTACTAACCCCTATAAGAGTTAGCACCTAATCCCATCCCTGTTCGGTTGGTGTCTGCAATTTTCAATTTTGGGATAAAATTAAAATTTAAAACAAAAGAAGAAAAAGATGAAGCTCTCAACCCTGCCCGATCGAGCAAATTGGTTGAAGGTTATTGATCTGATTGTTTTAGTCCAATTTATCAAAGATATATGAACATAATCATTATATTATTTATACATCGATAAATTATATTAAATTTTATTTAACGACTAACATATAACATTACACCATAAGAACATATTGTACTTGAATCTAACATATAATGAAATTTCACATACATTTACATAACATCAATATTCAAATGTTCAGCATGAAATTTTTAAGATAGGTTTAGGTGAAGAGAAAAACAATGTCATGTAACCTCCAACTAAATAATATTGTTGCAGCGGCTCGACCCATGGGTATGTGACCCATTTTTTTGATTCAATCATAGAATCAAACCGAGTCCACTCCCGAGTCAAGCCACTGGTTGACAACATTGAAAAAGATTAAAGCATTTGAGATTACACGGGAAATACTTTAGTTTGTTGGTAAATGCGGTTAGAAGTCAGCCCAACCGCGTGACCCAGAAAAGGGAAAACAAAGTGGGTGAGTGGTCCTCCAAGTTAACTCGAGCCCACAGGATTCCTGAGAGCGGTCTGGTCTTAATTGGCCGGCCGAACCACTTTTTCCTAAAAAAAGGTCAAAATCCTAACGAGCTGGTTTTGGCCATTTTCTAGGCCTTTTTTTATCTATCATTGAATGCAAACTCGATTGTTTCTGTTTGTGTCTATCTAAAACCTTTCCCTGAAGTACCAAACCAATGAGGCAGTTATATGCTTCTTTCCTTCTATATCTCTTTCCCCTATGCCCTACCACCCAGCTGTGTTTCTATGGTCCATTGTGCTGGTTCAGCCTGTTTACCCATTCCACCCGCCAAGCCACCGTCCTTGTCAAACTTTGGTATGATGCTGACCTACTAGAGGTGCGCCTGTGATATCGTATCGCGTGCTTGCGTCAATCTTTCAAATAAGTGAAATTGCAATCTCATCAGAAGATTGTTCGAAATTCTGTGAAATAATACAAGTTTTTTAACGATTCTATCAATGGGAAGAATCACACACACCCAAATCATGCATGTAATTGAAGTTATACGACATATATGATAGTACGTGTCGTTTATTGAGTTAGCCATACACACTGTGCATGTTTCTAGCGTTTTCGCATGGTATCATCAAATGATACAGGTCTACAAAACTCATTTGCATAAACAATATTTTTTTGGTGTAGATACGAAACGAGCCCTTACACGCCGGGGCATTAGGGAATGTAACTGCATATGAATTCGGAACTCCTAAAGTTTTTGAACAGGCAAATCATACGTACACACCGATCGTTTCCCTAGTGATGGAGGATGTAGGCAAAGCCCAGAGCAAAGTCGTAATGATCAGAAGCTTGTGTGGCTCCAAACTGGAAGACAACCATCCGATTTCCCATTTGTAGTAACAAGAGCAGTGGACTTGTTATTTTAATTCTGTTTTGAAGCTTATTGTAAGAAATGAAAGTGCTTTGTGCGTCGATGAAAAATCCGAGATTTCAAATTATATTCATTTGTCCTTCTCAAAGAAAAATCCTCTTTTATTAATGATTGTAAGAGGTCTTCTCGAATTATGAACGTGTTGTGAGGAACTGAGGATGAGAAATTGAGAATCCATTCCTTGCAATAGGCCCCCTCTCTCTCAAAGCCATCTTCCAACCATGGTCAATTAAATCGTACCGTACCGGCGGTTCAACCACAAAATACTAGTATTGGAGGCTAACCCGATAGACGGTATTAACGGTTGAACTACAATTCAACCACGATTTTACCGTAAAATACCCTACTATTAACTTTTCCGGTACGATGTCCGGTACAGTTTCATGGACCATGCTTCCACTTAGGAAAGCAAGGTGCTTAATTAATAATTAATTGGTTATTCTGTATTATAATAACCTAATTGCTTCATTCAAATTGCATGAGTTGCTTGCTCTCCAATGTTTAAAAAAAAGAGAGGAAAGAGGAATCTTTTAATTTTTATTATTCCTTTTCACCAAAAGCAAGCAGCCCCAAGGTGACTTGGTCTCCAAATTCTGATCTGCTGCAGAATGGCGAAACCATATTATTGTTTACTTACTCCATTCCTCCTCTCCTTTTATTTTATTCCCTTCCCTTTCCCTACTTACATTATTGTTGTTCTCTATGTTGAATGATCAAGTGACATATGAAGAAACTTCAAAGTTCAAACCTATCTTAATAAACGTGCATGATTTTTACCTGCCAGTCATAGTTGTTCACAGGTTAATTAATGTTTACAATAGGGTAAATGCCACATTTGGTCACTAAAATTACTAAATCATGTCATGCTTAGTCACTAAAAAAAATTAATATCAATTTTGGTCACTCGAATTACTGAAACATGTCACATTGAGTCACTCTCCCGTTAGTTTTCGTCCAACTCCATTAACGGAGTGGGACGAAAACTAACGGGAGAGTGACTAAATGTGACATATTTCAGTAATTCGAGTGACATTCTTAAAAAGAAAGTAATTCAAGTGACCGGAGTTGGATGGAGACTAATAGGAGAGTGACTAAATGTGATCAGTTTTAGTAATTCGAGTGACTAAATGCAAGAAAGTAATTCAAGTGACCGGAGTTGGACGGAGGCTAATAGGAGAGTGACTAAATGTGACCTGTTTTAGTAATCCCAGCTGCAGTGAGAGACTACATTGACAAGAAGATACGAGCTTTCATCTGGGGGAGCTCGGAAGCATGGAGGAAAATTCATCTAGTAGATTGGCAGACAGTGTGCAGTAGGAAGGCGGGCTAGGTTTCAGGAATGTGACTAGGGTGAACGAAGCCTTTATGGTGAAGATTGTCTGGCGCTTGTTTACTGAACCTAACAGCCTATGGACTCAAGTTATCAAGGGCAAGTACTTTCGGCAAACTGATACGAGTTGGCTGGTGAGAAATTCAGGGAGAATGTTGAATCTCTGGCAGGGAGTTCGACGGGTGCTTCACCTACTGTCGGATGCTACGTTGTGGCAAGTTAAAGGAGGTCAGCAGGTTTTGTTTTGGGAGGACAGATGGTTGCAGGATGGGCCACCACTCTCTGTTTTTGCGAACAATCTCCCGATGAAGCTCGTCGCCTCACGATATCTGAAATGGTTTTAAATGGGGATTGGAATTTTGATTTCTTGCAGGCTGTTCTCCCGGAAAATCTAGTGAGGCAAATCCGTCTCCATCCAGTCCCACAAGGGAGTGATGCTGACGTCCCTATGTGGCGCTTCACTCCTTCGGGAAGGTTCTCTTAAAATTGCTTACGAGCTGATCCAAGCGGATGCGGTGGTCCAGCCTCAGCCAGAGCCATGTTGGAAGGCGATATGGAGAACCCTGTCACCGCAACGTACGCACACTTTCCTCTGGCTTGCAGCACATCAACGCCTACTAACTAATGCTGAAAGATCAAGGAGACACCTGGCGCCTAATGGCACCTGCCCGATATGCGAGGATGGACCAGAGACCACTCTGCACGTCATCCGCGACTGCCCGTATGCAAGAGGAGTTTGGTCGCATTTCTTAGCTGAGGAACCACCAGATGATTTGTTCTTCCAGAGCAATTTGTCGAGTTGGATACGTTACTATATAACGGGACGCAGTGGGATTATAGATGCATCCCTGTTTGCTGTTTTGTGCTGGAAATTATGGAAGAATAGGAACAGCAAAGTCTTTGAGAAGAAGTTAGCTACGATGGAGGAGATGATTGCTGCCGTGAAGCTCTATGTGCAGCAAGTGCGTTGGGCATTTGACAGGGAGAGTGCAGTCATGGGAGGTGATCGCATGAAACATAGCTCATTTATCCATTGGAAACCTCCGCCGTCGGGATGGACATGCTTGAACACAAATGGGTCAGTAGCTATTGCTCAGGCAAGTGCAGCGGCGGGTGGATGCCTACGGGACGAAGACGGGAGGCTGATCCGAGCCTTTGTAGCTAACCTGGGGGTGGCTCCACCACTCATGCGGAGTTAGCAGGTATCTTTTTGGGTTACAGATGGCGTGGGACGCTGGAGCTCGACGAGTTGAAGTCCAATCGGACTCCCGCACAGCCATCCAACTTCTTCAATCGGCGACGGAGTTCCACCCCCACCGGACAATGATATCGACGGCAAGGCAGTTGTTACAGAGGGAATGGCAGGTGAACATCGTTCATACCTTTCGCGAAGGAAATTTTGTTGCTGACTTCCTAACTTCGCAGGGCCATGGATACCCGATCGGGAATCACCCATTTCTGGGCTCCAATCCGAACCTTCTCCACTGGCTTTTCTACGACCGTGTGGGAGTTGCAGTCCCACGCCTTGTTAATGTTTAAGGGTTGAGCGCCCCTTACCAAAAAAAATGTATATTTGAATATATTTTAGGCAAAATACATTTGTATAGCCAAAACTTTCGCGTTTGTGCCAATAATAGCCAAATTTGGAGAAATACGACTTATAGCCACATTTTTTGAACTTGTTTGACAAATATAGCCATTTCCGTCAAATACTTTAACACCGTCTCTAACTCCGTTAGTTTAAGTGAACGATTTGCTTATGTGGCCTCCATTTGGACGACACGTCATGTCCACCTAAACTCACATGTCACGTAATCGCCACGTCATATTTTTAATCTATATTTGAAGGGTTGAGCGCCCCTTACCAAAAAAATGTATATTTGAATATATTTTAGGCAAAATACATTTGTATAGCCAAAACTTTCGCATTTGTGCCAATAATAGCCAAATTTGGAGAAATACCACTTATAGCCACATTTTTTGAACTTGTTTGACAAATATAGCCATTTCCGTCAAATACTTTAACACCGTCTCTAACTCCGTTAGTTTAAGTGAACGATTTGCTTATGTGGCCTCCATTTGGACGACACGTCATGTCCACCTAAACTCACATGTCACGTAATCGCCACGTCATATTTTTAATCTAAATAAATTGGAGTCAGAAGACTCTCTTCCTCCCGTCTCTCTCATCTAACCATCTTCTAACCCCTAACAGAAAAATCCCTAATCCACCATTGTAGATCAAATCCTTCTCTTCAAGCTCTATAGTCCGCTTCTCCTCGACATATAACTCCCAAGCCAATACAATAAGCTCTGGATCCCAGTGAGTTATGCAGGCTCCCGCTCGGTTGGAACAACTATGAAGTACTGTGGGTACCTACGACAAATCGCATCACGAAATGCCTATGGAAGCCCTAAATCAGTCTTCAGATGTGCAATTTTCTCAAGCAAGATCCTCTTTTCCAGAGACATCATCAACAATTTCCTCAACTTCAAAACCAGCAGATCCTCCATTTCGTTCCTGACCTTCAGCTCCTCAAAATGCAATCTCTTCTAAACTGCAACAATTAAGTGCCTTCCTCCACAATCTCAAACACGACAGGGAATATCTTCAACAGGGAAATGAACCGACACTTCTTGTTCAGATCCAGCTCCTTCCCGAACCTACCCATTTCCCTCCTTTCGCCTCTTCACTGCAGCTCTCACCGGTTCAATCTGAACACAACTTCTCCTCGCCGAACCATTCGAACAAATTCCATCTTCAGATGTGCAATTTTCTCCAGCAAAAAGGAAAGATAAAAGGTACATAAACATTGATCTCTCTCTCACCGATCTGCTCACATCCACCATTGTAGATCTGTTCCCGGAACGAGTTTCTCAGTAACCAGCCATCTTTTCTCGTCCCGGAATAATATTCCCCCCTCTCACGGAACGAGTCAAAGAGAGCCAGGAGGAGTAGGTTATCGTTCATCGGAGTGGCGAAGGACGGGTCGGAGATGCGCTTGCTGGCCGTGAGGAAATCCGCGGCGGTGAAGCTGTGTCTACTCGTTCGACACAATTCCGGCGTTAATTCCACTTTTCTGATTCCTCCATGGATTCTCCAACCTCTCCAGCTCTTGCGTCTTCTTCAATCCCGGTAAGGCAGGGGAGTGACGCGATGCCGGGAATCCTCTGATAGGTCTTCGATCCAAGGAAGAAGAAGAATCCTTCAGATCTAGAAGACAAGGGACGAAGGTCATCAGTCATCACCATCTTCGGGGAAAACAAGGGTGCCCTAATGGAACTATTTGTTCTGCCCGAAAATCGGGGAATCCGTTTTCGAGGAACCCTCGCTACTTCCACATAAAGGGAGTCCGAGAACCAGCTCGGGTAGGAGCAGTGGGGAAGACGGGGAGGGGAAGAAGAAGGCGGAAAGTTAGGAGGTGGGAGCAGAGTGGGGATTTTTCGTTTTTATCCCATAATTTTTTAATTGAATGATTATCCATGTGGATATTTACAAACGAAAATTGGAAATAAGAGCTCGCCATGTAAGCATCTCCGTTTGTCCAGTCATACTTAACGCTAACACCATTAAAGAATTGGACGGAAGTGGCTATAAGTGGTATTTCTCCAAATTTAGCTATTATTGACAAAAACGCAAAAATTTTGACTATAGAAGTGTATTTTGCCTATATTTTATGACTTTCATATTCTCTAAACAATAATATGATCGATTATTCTACTATACATCGCCCATTTTAACTTATTATCCGGTAAGATCTCCTAAAACAATGTTAAAAACCATGGCAAAACAAACCTAATTCCCCTTCCTTTGCCCCCCATTTCCCCGAAACACGTCATTTGTATTTCAAACAATACGCGTGAAATAGGCAAGCAGCGAGTAAAATCCAAGCACTGCAATCACATGATTAAGGGAAGAAAGAAACGACGGAAAATTTGCATTGATTCTCTGTAGTAATAATAATAAAACGGGTTTTGTAGTTTCTATGAAATTGACTTTTCAATTCATTACAAGAAATCTATATATAAAAAAAATTCATTACAAGAAAGAAAATTCTTGGGACGTTGCCAATTTTAAGTACACTACCTACAGGAATCCTTTGATTTCTGTCACTGATGGTTTGTTCACGGAACCAAAACAGGGCAGCAAGTAGAACATAACCACCTGCTCGAATATTCCAGCAGTGTAAATCTTCTGTTCCTTTTCTCTTTATTTTCGTAGTTTTGGTGGCGGAGTCAGTAATCTAAATATGAGAGGTTAAAAAAATAAACTTGAAAAATTTGAACCATTGTATTTGTAGACGGAAACTAGAATCTTATCAATTACTCAATTTTTCAAATGTATAACAAATTTAACATGTATTTTTGCCATTTTACCAACATTTGAAAGGCGGAGTTTTGAACCATATACTAATTTTAAACGTAGAAACGAAACATAATTGTCATGCTTGTTGGGAAGGGGCTAATGATTAGGAATCTCTCTAAACAAAAGTACTCATCCTGATTTGTCTTGAAATGGCTAGATAAAATCAAACAAAAGAAACGATCATTCAATGAGAAAAAATGACGACATAAATTGTCAATTATATCAATAAGCGAAACGATAATATTTCATTAATTTACGCTCTGACTTACAAGTTATAAGAGCTAAAACTTTTTTAACAAAAAAAAGGTAACAACTAACAACAAAATTCAGTTTTTAGAAAATATTTTCTTTCCGTGAGCTGTTTTATGCTCTTAATTTCCATTTTCCACAAAATTGATAATAAATAACCTTTGCAAAGAACGAATTTAACGAAACACAAACGAATGAAAACCTCATTCCCGTCCACATCCATTCCCCCCCTTTCATCTTATCCACCTTTCTTTTCCGTTTTTACCTTTTTACCATGGCCAGCGGTGGCTTACTTGCGCATAAAGCAACAGAAACAAACAGACCAAACCAAAGGCTATATCCGTCATATCCTTCCAGCTCCCCTTCCAAAGTTTATATTAACCCCGGCCTCCTTCCTTCTCCACCTGATTTCACATTCTTGAAGAGGGGTTTTTCCTTTTCTCAATAAAACCTCTTCTCCTTCTTTCCTTCCTTTCTCTCTGAATTTCTTAAAATCGTCACATCATTGGCCTTCTTCCCTCTCCGTCAATCACCCGCCGGCGCCGCCCTGTTGATTTCGTTAGGCATTTGGAATTTCTGAGCAAGAGGGAGCCTGACCGGGAAAGGAAACAATTCGTTTCCCCCATATGTTATCGGAGTAACCCTCGTCGTCGGAGTTCTCCATACGTGTGGTTTGGAGGAAATTTGACGATGAGCTGACATTTAATTCATTTCCCTTCCGTAATTGTAAAATAAGAAAGAGAGGAATTGAATTGTTAATTGTTCGGAGGGTTTTTTGGGGGTGGGGTTGGGGAGGGAGCGAGGTTCGGCGTTTGGGGTTTGGCTCCCGCAGGGAGAGATCCTCGAAACGACGGCGTGAGATTTTGCGGCGTCGTTTCGTTTGAGGGAGAAGAAACGGGGGGTAAAATTCGGCCGGCGACGAGATGTGTGCGGCGGCGGCGACGGGGGAGTGGTGGGCGAGAGGGATAGTTGGGCAGATCGGGGGAGGGTTTAGCCACGAGAGCGAGAACGATTTGGCTCTCTTGGTCAGCGATTTCCTCGAGAACGGCGGCAGTAGCGGCGGCGCTGAGTCCTGGTGCAGTAGCGACAGCGAGTCGGGGCTCTCCGATCTCCATTCCCTTGCCCATAAGATTACGGTGAGAAGAAGACTTCCCAATTCTCCCCAATTTTAATGTTTTTGGGGTTTCTTTCCCCCTCGCAGCGTTGGCTTTGAATTGAGAATTGAATGAGGGCCAATTATCCTGTTCATTAATTTTGAATTTCGATTCTTCAATTTCGTCCTTTATGTGGCAATGATTACATATATGGTAAGAAATTTTTGGGGAATTATGCTCAAACCCCTAATCAATCAAGTTTGTTGTGGTTAAAAAATTCCTGCTTTTCACTTCTTCTTTGTTTCCTTTTGTTTCATGGCAAAGTGGAAAACAGAATTCCATATGGGATTACCTCTTGAAAGTTGGTTTCACTGTGGTAACGTGGAGGGCTTACAAGCCTATAAATTCATTCCTAACTATATGCCGTTGCATATAGTTCAACATTGCCTCACTTGGGAACCTGGGGATGGAGATTTTGGTTCATAAAGTCTTGCCCTTTCTGGTTTTTGCTCATGGGGAAATGTCATGAATCCAATGCCTCTGTCAATAGCGTGTCAGTGTTTTACCTTCATAGGTTCTAATGGTATGTCATAGAAACTAACCGTGATTCCTGAGAATTTAACATTTGTTTTCCCTCTCGTGTTTGGCAGTTCTATAAGCACTCGGTGACCCCCTACGAGAGCGAATTGCTGTCGCTGGTGCATTCTCTCATCGTCTCTATCAAGGAGACTGATCTTCATCTTGTGGAGTCTGGTTCCTGCAATGCCAGCTGCATCAGGTTTTCCTTGGTGAAGCTCTTGAGATTTTCTGGATATGATGCTGCTGTCTGCTCATCTAAGTGGCAGGGTAGTGCCAAGGTCCCAGGAGGTACAGCTACTTCTTTTACATATGTAAGATTGTCATGTTCTTGGGTTGTAAGTTTGCATCAGGATTGGATAGAATTGTGTAGTTCAGAACGGCCGAGTTATCATCCAAGTAATTTTGATTCTGAGTGCCTAAAGTCATGTACAACCAAATGCTAATCTAACCATTATCTTCTGAACTAGTATCTAAACTGGAAGGTCATAGGATGTTGTTCTGCTTCTAAATTTGAGCCTTTTATGAGATGCCACCTTCCACAATTGTTTACTGAGAAATGTGGAATTGATGCGCCAATTGCAGGCGATTATGAGTATATTGATGTAATCAACCTCGGCGAAGCTGGAATTTCAGAACGTCTGATCATTGACATCGACTTCAGAAGCCACTTCGAAATAGCTAGAGCAGTCGACTCGTATGATCGAATACTGCAGCTACTTCCCGTGGTCTATGTGGGCTCATTGCCCCGCCTGAAGCAGTATCTTCAGGTCATGGTCGATGGAGCCAGGTCCTCGCTGAAACAAAACTCAATGCCTCTTCCTCCATGGAGATCCCTGGCTTATCTGCAAGCCAAATGGAAGTCTCCGTATCAGAGACTGTTCGCCCCAGATGGTCGCCACAGCTTGTCGAGCAGCAGCAGCAGCGGCAGCGTTTCCACGTCATCGTCATCCGACCACAACTGGCAGTGTGGCGGGCATCTCAGAAGGCTGCAGTCCTCTATTCACTACGAACTCGAGGAAGAACGCCTTCTGAAGCCTCTGAACAATGACAACAACAACAACAGGATGGTTAAGCGGGAGAGGCGCCGGAGATACTCCTTGTTGAGGGGTGGTCTCTGAAGAGAGAAAAAAGACGTCTCTGCAGAGAGTGTACAGAGAAATTCGGCTGTCGGAAATGGGAAGTTCCATTTCTTCTTCACAAATTTTCCCCGGGAAGAGTTTTCTTTTTCTTTAACAAAGATTATATTGCGGCTTTTCTTTCTTCTTCTTCTTCTTCTTCTCCGGTTCTTTTTGCCCTGAGAGAGATATAAATCGTCGGCGGGAGCAGAGTTCAAACAGAGTATACAAGGAATAACAAGACAAGAGGCATTTTTCTTCTGTATCGTATACTGTTTTCACATTTCATCGCAACAAGTTGAGGGGAATCCGTGCGTCACAAGGACTAACCTACCAGCTGCAGAGGATCAAGAAGTCGTCTTCAATACCCATAGAAAGTTCTTTTTACATTGTTGTGTTTCAGTTTTGATTGTTATTCCTTGCCAGGTATTTGGTTGGCCAAGGAATTCTTTTCTGTTTTCTTCTTCTGTTCTTCATTATCATCTGTATACGAAACAAATAATTGTGAGGTATCTGTTAGCAATTGCAGAAATTATTATAAGTCAATGTCGGAGATTAGTGGTTGGTTTTTGTTTAATTAGTGGAAGATGTTTGGGAAATGGTCTCTCTTAACGTTGTTAGGACATGTGCATTTGTGGGAATCTATGGAGGTATTCAAGGAAGAACACATCTATGTGTATGGCTGGGAATGGCTCTCTGACGCTCTGTGGAGTAAACTAAGAGCTGGCCATGTGCGCTACTCTGGCCGTGCTTCAGGATATTATTAGATTACAGTGAAGGTGGGGAATTTGGATTGGATATCCTGTTGATAAATTTTTGAAGGAAAAGAAAGATTGGATGTCAGCTGGCAATATCTTAAATCTTGAACTGGTTGTCAGGCTGATCGATTCTACCTGAAACTGTTTTGTCTCTTTCTCTTGTCCTGCTCCAAGTCCAACTACGTGGGGAGGGTTTTTTTTTTTTTGTCTCTTTGTGTAGTCCTTTCGTGGGCCTCCCGGCTAAAGGGTAAAGCCCGGGGATTTGGTTTGGGCCGAAGTGGGCCCAAATGTGGTCTGAACCATATTTTGAGTTTGAGAAGAAGAAGTCATTGCCGGAAGTTAATCATACTGTAAACGTCCAGCCCAGACTCGTCTAAAGCCCAGAAAATAGAAATCATGGTCGGAAAAGAGAGGTTGGAGGATTAGCCGGAGGAAGATAAAGAAGAGTTGGTCAAAATTTGCGAGAGGATAAAGTTGGAATTATGAAAAATCAATAGGAACAAGTTTGAAGGAACAAAAAAAAAAAAAAGTTTCAAAATAATTGGCACTCAGCTATGTTTTTTTTCGGTAATTGCACTCAGCTATTTGAAATCCAACGTTTCTGAAATTTGTTACAATTCAAATTCGCCATTTATTTATTCCCTGTACAAATGAAGGATGTGAGAAAATCCGGCAGAATGAGGACTTTGAATAAATTTTTCTTTCAAATTTCTCATCCAAACGTATTCAAAGAGCTAGGACTGTGTGAAAACAAACGAAACACTCATAATATTTATCAATTTCATAAGAAAATATTGAATATGACCAGTCATTGTTCTAAATTCATTCCTTCCAAATTCATTAAATTATTTGCCGTACTCATTATTTTTAGTGGAATAATGTTTAATTTTATTAATAAAAAATTATCAATAATTAATGAACTTCCTAAGATGAAAAGGTACAACAGAGCAATGAGGGTATCCATTGTAAAATCCATTGACAAGAAATATAATTATATTCATAGGAAAATCTACTCAACAATAATTATATCAGTTATCCAAAATCTACCTTCCAGCCCTTACAAAAGTTCTTCAAATGATCATTCCCTCTCCTTTAAGTTCCATTTTGTTCAAATTGTATAGGAGCATATAGAAAAGAGTATCGATAATCGATCTCGATAACTAACTTCTTTTACGTCACGAACAAGTTATTGCACACCTACGTATTTTTTTATTTTTTTTTTGTTACGTAAGATTCTTAACAAAACAAAACAAAACGAGATACCCATACAAACATAATTATACTTGGTAGGGCTAACTAGCTCATGGTATAGAAAATTAGAAACAGCCAAACATTTCTCCCATTTTATTCAATCAATTAGGACCATGATTTGTGATTACAGTTAACAATATGATTTTTCATCCAACTGCTCAATCTCTCCTTTTTGTTCACCACATGTAACTATAATCATAATCTGCCTCAATCGGTCAGTCTAAGGATTCACGACATGCAGACCAGCTTGCTCCCACGCCAGAATCACTTCGCTTTTGGTTGCATAAGCCCTGCCAAATGGATCATAGTAAATCTGCACAGGACAACAAACCAACCCCAAATAAGAAAAAACTACAAGAAGACAGAGACTAGACCGCGTGTCCAGATCTCTGCAATCTCCCTCTCTGTGTCTATACCAAAGGATTTTCCTTCGAATAATGGACGATGAGAATTTGAACTCGAAAAAAACAGACGTGATAATTTTAATAAGAGAAGAAGAAGACGAAGAAACAGGATATGTAAACTCACTCGATAAACTCTGCCGGTGGGCATGGTTCGTTCTTCGACAACCCAGCCAGGGAGCAGCCAATTGTAGCGAGGCGAGCTGGTATGGTCGTAGAAGAGAGAAGTTGCGCCTTCGACACGCGGCCTTCCTCCCCTTGCCCTATTCTCCTCGATCCTCATTATAGTTTCCAACACATTGCTGTTTAACGGCATGTTCCTCGGTTCTTGTCTTGCTCCTTGTCCTTGGTTTCCTCTTGCTCCTTGTCCATGGTTTCCTCTTGCTTCTTGTCCATGGTTTCCTCGCTCCATTGTTTTTTTTTTTCCTCTGTATTCCTTTGTTTTTTTTTTCTAGGAGGTTGGAGTAGAGGAAATGGATATTGGGAGTGGGGAGTGGCTCTTCAATATTTATACACATGAATGGTGAACTCAGTCAAATTCATTGGGAGGAATATTTGGAATGTGAGTTACTCTGTAAATGTGCTTAACAAGTGCGGATTGGTCTACTACTAGTAACCGATTTTTGGATGTGGGTTCTCTTACTCTAGGTTAATGACACAATACAAAGACTGAAGTGGGTACGGGCCGATTTGGTCCAGAATCGGACCAAATCAAAATATGATCGAACTGAAAATAAAGGGGAAAATGAGGATCCCGGAATCGAACTAAAATCGTGTTTTGTTTATATAGTTTGCTTTAGTTCGGACCAAAATTTAATTTCGATAAACTTTTCTTTTATATTTAAGACAATTCGCGAGATCGAAACTGAATTGAAATATCTTCGATCTAACTATCGATCCGGTGTCAACCGTATTGTTACCTCCTAGAACCTTAAAAATCATGAAGCAAAAATGAGATATTCAACATATTTAATTATTAATAACGGTTATTAAATAAATATTTTTACAGGAATGTCATTAATGAGTAATGAGTCACTCGAGGACATATTTGAGATACCAAAATTTAGGTAGCTTTTTAATTATCGTGGATTTTGCTAATTAATGAAGTTCCAAAAATTAAAAATTTAACATTCTGATGTTTTGTGGTCAGTTATATATTTAATTCAAATAATAGTTCATACTTTTGTGTGAACGGTTTCGGCAACATACAAATTATCGTTTTTAATTATTGTATGTCTTGTAAATTTGTTGTCCCTTCTGTCATACTCGTAAGTGGCATGTTCTTGCTTCCCTCCTCCCAGCTCTGAGCTCTCGTTACGACGTTTTGCTCCTCCATCTCGATCTCTTTCTCTTTATCGATGGGAGAGGAATAAAAAGAAGCTTAATTTTATAGATAAGCTCCTTGGAAGTTCGTACGAACCCCCACTGCCTAGTTGTTTCTTTTCTTTTCATCAGTTTGATTGTAGAAGAGTCTTGATTTTGTTAGCTTAGTCGAAGAAAGGTCTTTCCCTGGTTATTGGCGAATCGAGTTTTAATTGGGCTAGCTTGATTTTATTTTAAGATTTACTTTTATTTTTGTAAGAACCAGTAGTTGTTTTTGCTGTGTTATATTTATATATATACCATATGATTGATTTGATATTTACTCATATTTCCCATTATAATTTTAAGAATTTATACTTTTACTTCCTTGTTTTGTGGTGGGATAAGCTTTTGGTAACCTTTTTGAGCTCTTTGGTCTACTTTATGGTTTTTGTGATGTGATTTATCATGTTTTTAGTCTATTATGTATTTTGTGATATTTTTATGGTCCGATTGTGGTACGTGGTGTCAAATTTGCCTGGCCCGAATGCCATGATTGTATTTCATAGGGTCTATCACAATCACTTACTCAGATGACGAGGAACGAGTTCTAGGATAGGATAAGGCATATGTAGAAGTTAAGGTGCCTCCAGTTTTGCAAAATGAAAAGTAAAGACAAGTACAGAAAAGAAAACATAGCTAATAGCTAATGAGCTTCTCAGTCTGGTTCTATTCCTATCTTACTGCAAGATTTTTTGAACCTAGAGAGTACTAGGCGGATAAAAATAATTATTGGGGTTCGATCTGGACTCCCTCGTTCGATCTCTTTGAGAGTGGAATGATTCTGTAGAGAGGATGGGTTGCCCTCGTGATCTATGCTCCGATGCCCAAGTTAGTGCGGTATAGGAATAGTGTATATTGAATTTGAATGTAGAAAGAGTTGTGTAGAGAGAGACGACCTTATGTGGTCAAATGGAAGAAGAGATAGAAAAAATCCTTCTCTTGGAGGGATTGAACCTTCTTATAAATTATTTCGGGGCCTCCTTGAATGGGTTGTATCAAAGTGAGACACTTCTCCTAGGCTTGGTTTCATTAATTGTGTATTAATTTGTCGTATTAGACAGATTAATTCATATTCCAACAAAAGATATTTATGAAATTGCTTTCTGAGACACTCAACTCTTATTGGGTTTGTGAATGTCCTAGGTTGGCCCTCCTAGAGCTTCCCGGCTTGTGTTTGCCTCCAAGTTTTGCCAGCAGAGTTATGATGCAGCCAGATTCACATATGCTCCAATGTGTTGTGTCACGACCCGAAATGTCGTGATTGTGCTGATCGTCTGAAGAACACTGTCATCTGGTTGTCTTGCCATAAGAGGGATAAAAGGGGCGACTCTAGCGATAAGGCGTTGTCCGCCCTTGCATCGTTCTAGCCAAGTTCGGATGTGACTATGATGGGGATCGTTCTAGCCAAGTCCGGATGTGGCATTGAGTTGCCTCCTACAGGTATTTAACCTACTTTGCCAGCCCTGTTGCCACTAGGGATGGCAACAAAACCCAAACCCATGGGTACCCACCCGACCCGACCCGGTCAACGTGAGTAAAATCCGTGTTGATAGGTTTTGGGCCGGGTTTGGGTTTAAACCCGTTCACTATTCATCGGGTTGGGTTTGGGTTTAGGTAAACCCGACCCATGGGTACCCGCCCACACTCATATAGTTAATTTTCTTGGTATATCTAATATTCTAAACAACTAATCTTATTTATGTTTGTGGAGACATGTCTAATTTTTTCTTTCTAATTGTGTAGAATGAAGTTGATGTCATCGAGTGGAGAGTGAATAAACTTAATTGAAAGGAAGAAACTTTCAATTAATCATGTTATTTATGGATAATTTGTGATTTGCTTTAATTTTATTGAGTTTTCTATATTGGTGTTGAACAATTTGTATAGTTAATTTGTGATTTGTTTGAATTTTCTAGAATGGTGTTTTATATATGGATAATTTGTATTGAGAGATTGATATTTTACTTTAATTTTGATAGGAACTTGTTATTGTAAATTTTTGTACGACAAAAACCCGTGGGTACCCATGAACCCACGGATACCCAGCGGGTTGGGTTGGGTTTGAGTTTTTCAAACCCAGTGGATTTTACCCCGGGTTTTTTTCACGGATAAACCCATGGGTTTGGGTTTGGGTTTGGAAAATCCCGACCCATTGCCATCCCTAGTTGCCACCAGTTCTCCAAATGGAGATTTGAGCCAATTATGCATGCTTGGTTTATTCCCATCCGGAAAGGAGTTACATTCCTACCAATTATTTGGGTAGGCGTAAATAAGAAAATGATGTATATAGTGGTGTTTAGTAACCTCAATCATGCAGGGAGTTGGATTCTCTATATTGGCATGGAATCTTTTCTACGTAAGCTGATTGTGCAAAGTTTGTTTGTTCATACAGGCAGTGTGATTTGGGGATCTTTTGTTTGCTCCGTAAGGTAGCCAGAGCCAGCCAGTTTTTCACTAAATTTCAGAGTATTTGAACTGCAGAAAAGTAGTGCGGAGAACTAGTAAGAATTGTGCCTGCCATCCAATTCGTGACGTGGATGATCCGCCGAATCCATTGCTGACTTCACCACGATCGATTAGGTGAAACGGTTCTGAAAAGTTTCTTTGTTCATACAGGCAGCGTGGTTATAGTAGGAAGAATTTCAGGGCAAGAAAGCATACATGCCTATTTAGCCGCCTACTTACTGAATGCCAAAGCAAGGAAAGACTCTATGGAATACCTTCTGCTTGTCCTCGCTTAGCACGCATACATGTGATTCTTCTTCTATTTTTTTCTCCATTGGTAAAGGAAGACTAGCTAGAAAGAGAATTGGCTACTTTCTTCCTTCGATCCCTGTACAGTGCCTATTCACTCTTCCTAAGGCTATCGAGAAGGGATTTATTCTATTCACAGACAGCTTTCCTTCTTGTCCACGCGCTATGAGACAGATTCACAGTAAGCACAGCTCTTGCTTATCCCCCCTTGCGTACTTAAGAAATGAATGAACCACAGCCTAATGCCTTCCTTCCCGAGTGAGATGTCTGCTGGGCCTATGAACACTATTCCTAAGACAGGAGATTCGACTTGGAAATGTGCTTACTCCTTTTCTTACAGAGCTGATCTTGGACTTCTGGACTGGCTTTCTAACCATCCAATCTTAAGGTTCTTTACCCCACGGGTGCTTCCTCCAGCGGATGCGCCGGAGCCTGAGACGCCGGAGGAAGAAGTAAGGTTACAAGGCCTGATGGAAAATCATATTTACCAGAGATTAAAGGGAAAATATCCTCCGAATTCGAATCACTGTTCGAACAAGCGGAAAAAACCGCGGAATTAAAAAGAAAGATCTTCGACAGGATGGCAGAATTAGATGATCCGTTACATGCGTCTTTTTGGGTTGAAGAACGATTTCGACTTGTTACGGAAGCACTTCTTACTAATAAGGAGCAAAGGATTAAAAACCTAAGCATCTTCAAGATTTTTTGAATGATTTACCAAAGAAGCAAAAAATCTTCTTTAAAATTCTAAGCATTCGAGAGAACTTTCAGAGGCAAGGAACATTTTTTGGAGTAACGAAAAGGAGAAGGTTTGATTAGTTTCTGGTTTGCTTTGTCTGAAGAGAAGGAAGAATGTGGACGTCACTCGACTGGGCTAGCCCCCGAAAATGCCCGTTTAGAAGTTGGGGATCCGCTCTTTAGTTCTTTTTTTTTTTTCGGTGAATAAGCAAATTTTATTCAGCCGAGACTGGCATGATAACACATGCCAGACGCCCACCAAACTACAATCTGTCCATCACTTACAGCAACTCATAGAAACCAACAACCTGCTTACAAAACTTCTACTCACACTATAACCGACCACTCGTGACACTCCTACGAACGGAAAACAAATCTCTATATCAAAAACGAAAGAAGGTAAATAAGCTAAACTGCTATCCACTACTTTCTGCAATCGTCTGCTGCTGCTGCTGTGGTTGGAATATTTACCGTTGCAAATCCGAACGTCGAGCTACTGTTGATGAGTGACTGAACTCCAAATCCTGCTGTATCAAGGTAAGCAAGGTGCTCACCTCACGGCCGGCCTCGCCATGGACTCTCCGACAGCGCTCCTTCCATACATACCCCACTACCAAGCACCAAAGAGCACTTCCCACTTTGCCGTCCGCTCCAGGAAGATCAGCAAGGCTACAAGCTATATCCAAACAATTCTGCCAATTGGCAGCATAACAAATCGCCGGCCACACGCCAAAGAGATCTGCAAGTAACCTACGAGAGTACTCACAAGCAAAAAAGAGATGATCTCGGGTTTCAACTTCTGATCCACAAAGAACACATGAAGCGTCAACAAGCTTACCCCAGTTTCTGAGTTTCTTATGGAAATCCATTAATCATTTTCCCTTTAACCTTTAACGAACAGTTATCTCTCAATTTAAGACAAAATTTAAATTATTTGCACAGATAAATAATATTAATTGTGCTCGTTAAAATGATATCCAGTTTGATATATTTTCTCCAAAAAATATTGAGACATTTATTACCAGTCTATACAATATGGTTAGGCCTGTTAGCGGTTCGATTTCGGTTTTAATCGAACCGCAAACGCGGTTAACCACGACCAAGATCAACCCATCACCGGAAACCGAAGTCGAGATCAGCCCATCACCGGTGGTTTCAGTTCAGGGCGCGGTTAGCCGAAACCTGCGGAATTGTGGGGAGCAGGAGGACGAAGGCATATGGTGAGACGATGGCGAGATGACTGACGATGGTCGACGATTAATGGACTACGAGTGGGAAGACGAAGGTGGTAGTGGGGACGCGAGGCAGGGCGATAACGATGGCTAGCGACGGGGACACCAAGAAGGGTTGGGGTTCGAAGTATATACCACATACCAGATTACAGATTATACGGTCCGTGTCCAGACCACGTCTGTGTGGTCTGGTCCGGTACGGTGTGGTCCATATAGACCACACTCAACAAAAGATGAATGATTTGTTTAGTCAACCGTAAAAAATTTGAACCAATAACCAAGAAAAAAGCATAACAAAGATACAAAGTAAAAGCATCCCAACTTGCACCATAACGTCATAAACATTAAGGTAATTTTACATTGAGACACGATTATCTTTACTCTCTAGTGAAATGTGGTTGTGAATGAAAGAGGGGACAAGATACTCAAAATTAAGGTTGAGACTTGGGTGTCATTGTGGGAGCTGGGAGAGCGGTCGTATGGGCTGTTAACACGTATTGAAAAGTTGGTTGGGTCCACGGTTTGGTGCGGTAAACCGCGGTCTAGACCAGACCAGACCAAGAAATTAAAATATAAAATAATACAAACCATAGACCAGATCAGACCATACTTAACGGTCTACGGTCCGGACCAAACTGTGCGATCTGATTTGAACCACGATTTATTTAACGGTCTCTGATCTATTTTTTCAGCCTAGACGGGATAGATGGAAGTAGTGGTTTGTAACTTTGTATACGGTACGGATCATAGTTGGATAATTATTTTGGGACTAATTGTGCAATTATTATTATTTTATTGCCGAGAATTGTAGTCGAGTATATATACTCTCACTTATTCACCCCTGAAACTCTCACAAAACCCTAATTTTTGTTGGACTTGTTGACAATGATGCATCGGCTAGCCTCTGTCGCCGATTTGATCTCCAACACCATATCAAAGACCAAGAGACCGTGGGCTGATCTGAGTCCGGATCTGCTGAATCTGATCTACGCCAAGCTCCCTCCAGGCCACGGCGGCGACGTCGAGTTCCGATCCGTTTGCAAGAACTGGCGCCGGATCGACCCCGATGGCTCTGTCTCCGCCTCGAAACCCTCCCACCTAGAAGTACCGATTCCTCGTTGTTATCATCCCCTCCAGATCCCCGACGGGGCTCCGGAGAGATCGACCATCAACGGCGCGCTGGTCATCCACAGGTGGGCGAGCGGGTGGTGCCTCTTGGGACGCCGGGAAGACCAGATCTTCGGCTGCTACAATCCCCTGTTCCGCTGGCCGACCAGCTTCGTCCGACTCCCCGAATGCACACTCAACGACACGATGGTAGCGGCGGCGATCTCGGGCCCACCAACCGCCAGAGACTGGACGATCCTCCTCGTGGAGGGCGCCCGCAGTTTCAGGACGCTGCGCCGCGGCCAGCGGCGGTGGCGGGAGTACACTTACTCGCCCGATTGGACGCGGTTCTGCGACGGGATCGGGTACAGAGACCGGATGTTCTTCTGCCTGTTCCACACGGGAGAGGTCCTGATGTTCGCAATCGACGGCGGCTGCTGCAGCAGGAGGAGGATGCTGCTGCCTTATCGTGAGGAGGGGTTCGTGTTTCACCGTGTCGTCGTTGCGGCGACGTTTTGGTGCGGAGAGAAATCGCTCGTGCTGACGTGGGCGCAACGAGGAGATGAGTGGCTTCTCCAGCTGGCCGGGGTGGAGAGGCGTACTGGGAGAATAAAGAAGGAATTGTTAATGATGGAAGAGAGTGGGACGGCCGCAAAGTTAGTGTACGCCTGGGAGCAGATAGGAATGATCCGCCGCAAAGATTGTATGTTTTGTTTATGTTTATGTTTCTAATTTCATTTCTCGCAGGAATAGCAACAGATCGGATAGAATGAATATCAAAATACTTAGTATTGAGTTTAGGATATCTATTATTTCTATTTCTTCCTTCCTTTTTCGTATAAGTCTTACTTCTTCATTCTTTGTTCAACTCCATTCTCATTGAATGCGCACTTATATTATATGTCATGTGCATATATAGTAACTTTTAAATCAAATCCAAGGCAAAATACCTTTCCAGTAAGTTCTCACTTGTACCAAAGTGATATACATCATTATACGGGTCAGCTATACGCTCCGGTTAAATTCTGGGAATTTTAGTGGCATGAAAGGGTGAGGAGTTGGTTAAGTTTTGGGTGTTGGACTCTCTTATCCGGTTTTTCGATCTTCTAAGCCCGAAGATGAGATCGAATTTTTTGCTATCCAATCTCGGTCTGAATTATACGGTCTGGTTTCGAGTAAAACCAAAAAGCCCGGACCAAATAGCCACTCCCATGCACCAAGATGAAGTGACGGCATAACTCATTAAGTTTAATCACACAACCTTTTTCAAGAAACAATAAACAGCGTATTTTTCAGATCCTACAACCAAGTCAATCCTATAAGTGCAAAGAACCACGGCAGAACTTATGCATTATGGAACCTTTTTTCTTCCTTTTTTCTTTGTGGGTGTCATATTCCCTTCGTGTAATGTTATTTCACTTATGTAACACAATTAGGAAAAATCGGAAAAAATAGTATTGAGAAAGAATAACCTGCTAAATTGAATGAAATATTGTTTTGATCCATTTGTGATTTTTTTTTATGTTTGGTATAATTTTATCACAATTTGAGTTTATTTAAGATTGGACCAACCATTTCTAATTAGAAGTATAACGTGATGGAGTAGAAGTGTAGGACGCGCTATTGTTTTCGATCGCACGAGACTCATATTTTAGGCAAGGGAAGGACATTATTGATAAGCATGCATTTCAAAGAGGGTTTTGGCTTTCATTTCATTACTATTAAATATACCATATAGCAAAAAGCTTGGGACTTGTATGCATATATAATAGGCACATTCAAATTCTTGGGCAATTTGGGCTGCTTCTAACATAGCATGATGTGATTGATGTTCATGTGAAGTATATGATTATAAACACACAACCATGTCTTCTACATATTTATTTATATGTCCTCTAGTGAAAGGAAATTAATTTGTTAGGTGGAGTGATTGTTAGTATACATAACCAGTCTTCTTATTGCCTTTTCATTTAATATATACTAGACTTCCTTGTCCGTGCTCCGCGCCAGGACTTGAGAAATATACTAAGAAACGTGATTTGATTATGAAATTGCTAATCTCAATCTTGTTTAATGGACTTGTCAGAATCACAAATGAAATTGGTCATATTCACCATACATTGGAGCAACTGCTGGGAAAGTAAATTGCATGCATGACAGCAGAAATGACACCATAAGTTGTTCGGTGAGGTTTGATTTGATAATTCCTATTAGATGAAACCAATGTGCAAAAGATTGTATAGAACTTCATAGATAAACTTAAACTAACAAACAAACCGACACGGACATAAACATGTCCAGCACTGAATATTATATGTTTACATAAACTTCAACCAATATGGTTCATAGTTCTCGCATCAGAGCATTTAATAATTGACTAAATTTGGTCACATCAGTAACAAAACCATATAAGTTGGCAGAGAACATTTACAACATTCCATTTGACCAACGACAAACAGTTCCTTATAAGAAGAAAAAAAAAAGAAACAAATGGTTTTTCCTAAACTACAGCTAGCAACCAAGTGAGTAAACAACCTCCCACCACCCAGCCTACTCACGTGTATCACAAATCAAATTCCTCAACCGATCTTCCATGACACAGCAATATCCTGCAAAATAATAAATTAACTGTGAGAAGATAATAAATTTTAGGGACATACCATTACATTAATTCTCCGTTAGAAGGATTATAAGCACCATGCGCAGGGTTCCACTTTACTTTCAATGGGAGCATAGCAGAACCCTGAATAGTGTGATAATAAAAAGTAACCTAGTGACTGATGTAACACACACTACCTAACATCATGATCTACAAACCCATCAAATGTAACCTTTCTGATGGACAGGAAAAAAGATAACTGAAAGAGAGAAACTCAACAGTTAGATTTGGAGAAGAATTCATCAAATAGAATATGGTTGGGCAATCATGTGCACCCAAAATAGAGCCTATAAATCTTATTCTTCTCAAGAGCATCGTTCGAGCTCCCAAATAAGTGATCTAAAGAGAAATCCCAAATTAGGATCAGGAGCTTCTTATTGAGTAGAGGGGGCTGATCATATATGGAAGAACACAAAATCTGCTCTTTTTTTTTGGGCCAAGTGCGAACCCAACTTACCTCCAAACCCTTCCAGAAATTTACAAACTGCGAAAAAGTTACTTAAAACTTCAGGCCATGGCAGAAGATAAGGGGGAAAATAGAGTATACAATCTGAAAAGAAAGATTAGTGAATGGAATAGAAAAGAAGAAGGGTACGAAGCAGAGAGGAAGAAATGGATATAATCTCCTGCTCTATATCTCTTCTGCTACTAATCATATGAGCTTTCTGATCTGCAACTGAGAGCCTCAAGGCTCAAATCACAGGGGAGAAAATCCGGATTTGGCAGAGATTGTTGCACGAACCACCATAAAAATCACCGAAGTAGAGCACGGGCCCCTACCCAGGCAATCACCAGGTCCTACTGGCATATCGTTGGTATTCAAAAGACACCTCTGACAGTGAACTCATTGTTGGGATCTCCTGTAAAAAGCGATAAACCAAACCCATTAGAGTAAGAAAGAGAGAACAAACTCATTTTACAAAAGAGAGTAAAAGAACTAATCAAATATGGAGAGAAGAGCACCTGCGGATCTAGATATCCTCCCAATCGAGTCTCGACCTGCAAAAAAAGTTTAATAAATTAGTCGGGTCCTCGAACGACAGTACGAAACCTTCTCGTCAAATCAGCATGAAAAAAATAGAACCATATAGCAGTGTTCATATCAAACCTACGAAGAGAAAAATAGAGATATATGTGAGAGTCGAGATACAATGTCGCCGGGGAATGGTAATCAGTGCGGTTGTGTCTGGACGGGCAGACGGTACTGAGAGAAGGGAGGGAGAGAGAAGAAGATGAGGATACGAAAGAGGGTTTCTGTCGATTTGGTAGCTGTGGAGAGGGAAGGAGGGGAGAAAAAGAGTCATTGACATATAGAACTGTGCCGGCCGCCGGGAACTGGGCCGGGTTAGGTAAAATAAGTGCCCAAAATAAAAAAAGCTACGTGGAACTTAATTCCGCCAAACAACCAGCAAAAATATCTAGCCTGCTGTTTTCTCTCTCATCATCCCCCAATCCTTTCGTTAAAAAGCTATCCAATCTCCATCGCTCTGTCATTTGGGTCTCGACGACCAATGCATAGAGACCTGATCAAACTAAACGAAGCCAACAGCGGACCCACGCTGCAGCTCAAAGAGAACTAAAAAGGTTTCCTCTCCTCTCAAGACTCCTTTGTACTTTAATTTGGGTCCATCCAATCCACTGGTGACCAACGCGATTGTTCTCCCAACCAGAGAAGTAAAACTTTATGTTTTTTTTTCCCGAAAAGGCGGCAGAAAACGTCAGCACATAATGGAATAGAGGCAGCTAATGGCGGTACAGAATGAAGGAAAAGACTCCGCAGAGAACTCCAGGCCCACCTCAGGCCAACAGCCAATCACAAACCAGTGAATAGTAATTTTGAGTCTAAATGAGCAGTGAAAGCAGTCTGGATGAACATGAATTGGTGTTTTGAGCTATTATACTTTTAATTTTAATTAATTAATATCCTAAGGAATTTATATTTAAGGATAACTTTATATTGGACATTGAAATATTGGAGAAAACCAAACAAACGAAAAATGTTTTGATCGGAAACTTGGGCATCAACTACGATACCTTGTCAAAAAAAAACTACGATACCAGATAATGCATGAATAATGAATAATTTGTTTAGTCAACCACACAAAAAATTGAACCAATAACCAAGAAAAATAATTGTTATTTGCCTTAAAACATTAATCCTAACATGCATGAATAATTTTGATACTCTAAATCTTAGTACATAACAAAGATACAAAGTAAAAACATCACAGCTTTCACCATAACGTCATAAACATTAACATAATGTCATATGAAGACACTATTATCTATACTCTCTGGTTAAATGTGGTTGTGAATGAAGGAGGGAAGAGATTCACAAAATTAAGGTTGAGACTTGGGTGTCGTTGTGGGAGTTTGGAGAGTGGTCGAATGGGCTGTTAACACGTATTGACAAGTCAGTTGGGTCCACGGTTTGGTCCGGTAAACCGTGGTCTAGACCAGACCAGATCAAGAGATCAAATCATAAAATAATACATACCAGACCATACTTCACGGTCTACGATCCAGACCAAACTGTGCGGTACGGTTTGGACCACTGTTTTTCTAACGGTTTGGTCTATATTCCCAGCCCTAGGGGCCATGGCCCCCTCTAAACTTTTGGGAATTTATCGATTATATCATGCCAGAGTAATTATTGGACAAACAAATAGTCGTAGCCCAGTGGAGTTGATTTATTGCAAAAATAACTACAACTATGTGGTCCAGGGTTCAGGGTTCGATCCACGGATTTTTTTTAATTCCAATTTGACAATGTTTCTTATACAGCCTCAACACGTGAGAAACCCCCTCCCATCCAATATCCTTTTTTTTTTTGTCAAAACTCAGATAAGGAGACAAAAATCCCTTTATTCTTTATGGATCCCAAATCTTCAACCTCACTCGCAGACAAAAAGTACCTCCCTTCCAAATTCCAATCCAAAAACAATTAAACCTTCCTTTCTACCTTTTCTCTGTAGGCGGCGATTCTGCTGCAAAAAGAAAAATCCCAATGCCAATCCCACCCTAAAGACAAACAACCCCTTCTCTATTCCTCGTTCAATCGTAACTCAGACTCCGCCCCTGCTTCTTTCTTTGTCTTTCTCTGGGTTATTGCGGGCGGCAACAAAACTTACAAACTAGTCAGTGTTGGTTGCCACTGCACGGCTGCTGTCGCTGCTTCCGACGTGATTGGCAACCATCAAAGAAACTCAGGTATTTAAATCATTGTATTTGTTTCCAGTTTATACTTAAACATTCAAAATTAGCAAGAACAGAGCTAGATAACTGGATAGGGTTACTTGATGGGTTTTGTGGTTTTGCTTGATGTGGATTGGAGTGCTTGATGTGGATAGCTAATTGGGTTGTTCTGGTCTTTTGGATGTTTACAGCTTTTCCTATTCTTAAAGATGAAGAGTAAACAGAAAAGGGTTACAACTTTTTTTTCCAAGGAATGTGTTACCAAAAACAGATACCAGTTTCAAAGTTCATGGTACTTGCTAAGACACAAATGATGCTTTTAACTCAAGTTGTACTTGCTAAGTTTTCTAAATCCGGGCCTCCTGGACATCTTCGACCTTTTCAAAGTTCATGGTACTCTGAATTCTCTTGGCTTGAATATTCAGAAGCAAAGGATGCTGCATATTGTCTTCCATGTTATCTTTTTACTGAAAAGCCAAATACTCAATTTGGTTGGGACACATTTGCAAATGAAGGCTTCCAGAATTGGAAAAAGGTAAAAAGTGGGGTAGATTGTTCTTTCAGGAAGCATATTGGAGAAAGTCCAAATTCTCATCACAACAATGCTGTGAGGAACCGCCATGCTTTGATGCATCAACCTGGGCAAATTGACAAAGTTATGAAGAAACAAACTTCTGAAGAGGTAAAGAAGAATATAACTCGAGAGAAGACCTCAATAGATGTTGTTCGTTATCTTGCATTGCAAGGGGTTGCTTTTAGAGGTCGGGATGAGACTGTTGATTCAAAGAATCCTGGTAACTTTATTCAGCTGATCAAATACACACGTTTTTATAATGAAGAAGTAAATAGTGTGGTGTTGGAGAATGCTCCGAAGAATGCAAAATACACATCTCATGTGGTTCAGAAGCAAATCTTGCATGTTTTAGCTAAGAAGATCAGGAAGCAAATTTTTGAAGACATTGGAGATTCTAAATACTCAATCATTGTGGATGAGGCAAGTGATGAAAGTAGGCATGAACAAATGGTCATCATTCTTCGCTTTGTTGATGCTAAAGGATTTATTCAAGAGCGGTTCCTCAATCTAGTTCATGTCAAAGACACAACATCAAAGACTTTTCACTCTGCTATTTGCTCAACTCTTGCTTCCTTTAAGTTTTCCCTTCATAATCTTCGTGGACAAGGATATGACGGTGCTAGTAACATGCGTTGTGAATGGAAAGGATTGCAAGAACTCTTTTTGAAGGATTTTCCTTAGGCGTATTATGTGCATTGTATGGCTCATCGTCTTCAACTATCTTTGGTTGCAACATCTAGAGAAGTCGATAGGGTAAATGAGTTTTCACAAAGTTACCGAGAGTTGTGACTGCTATTACTGGTTCCACAAAGCGCTTTGATGAGTTAGAAGAGTTTCAAGGAGATGATTATGCTCAAAAGCTAGCATCAAGTGAAATTGAGACAGGAAAAGGTGCAAATCAGATTCGGAATGTACAACGAGCTTGTGATACTCGATGGAGTTCACATTTGAGTTCTATAGCTAGCCTTATCCATTTGTATGGTCCAAGTTGTCGTATTTTGGAGAACATAAGCAATGATTGTGCTCACTACAAAACAAGGGGGGATGGTAGTACAACTTTGAGAACTATGAAATCATTCGAGTTCATATTCATTTTGCATATGATGAAGGAGATACTAAGCACCACAGATTTGCTTTGCAAAGCTTTGCAACGTAAATCTCAAGACATTGTAAATGCAATGAGGGCGGTGGAGACTACTACAAAGTTGTTGAACTAAATGAGGAATGAAGATTGGGATTCTTTGTTAGCAAAAGTCACACTGTTTTGTGAAAAACATGGTATCGATGTTCCTGATCTTAGAGCTCCACATTATGAAAGTCGACGACAACGGGATGGCATCACAAATGAGCACTTTTATCATTTTGATGTGTTCAATGCTGCTATTGATGTGCAGATAGAAGAAATACGAGCAAGGTTTGATGACAAAGTACTTGAACTTTTGAAGCTTAGCTCGAGTTTGGATCCTCGAGATGGTTATTAAGCTTTCAACATTGGTGCTATTTGTGATCTTGCTGAGAAGTACTACCCTCTTGATTTTTCAGAAAAGGACTTAGATGACTTGAAGTTTGAATTGAAGCATTTTCAAGTTGATGCTCCTACTCATCCTGAACTCCAAAATCTATCATCACTTGCTGAGTTGTATCATGGTTTAGCAGTGACGGGAAAGTCAAAGGAATTTAATCTTGTTGAGAGGTTGATCCGTCTTATTTTGACTCTTCACGTTTCAACTGACACAGGAGAGCGTGCATTTTCAACTATGAAGATAGTGAAGAATAGGCCGCGGAACAAGATGAATGATGATTTTCTAGCTGATAACTTAGTTATCTTTATTGAGCGAGAGCTTGCAGAAACTTTTAGTTTAGACGCTATTTTGAGTGATTTCAATGATCTTAAAGAACGCTGTGTACTGTTAAAATATAATTAATATTTTATTTGGATATTTTTTATTCTCTTTTATTTTTGGCCCCTCCTATTGTCAAATGTTGGCTCCGTCCCTGTGTCCAATCATACCTGGAAGCTTATCTTGAATAAAAAAATGTTGATATTTTTTAAGGCACTATACCACATTAGAAAAAACTAAGTTAATCAGTAAATTGAACTTTTTTCTATATACACATGACATTTATAGCGAGAAAGTTATATCGGGTTTAAAATGCCATTTACCGCTCAATAATAAAATCATCATTTTTATTTTATTTTTTAGTATGTCTTAGATATACTAAAAAATTTTAACATGCAAATATGTGTATACTATAAACATAAATTGAAATGGTGAAAAATAAAAGAGGAGTTAAGACTAATATGCATGAAAAAATCATTAAAACAAGCATAGACAACGTTCGAGTCAATAAAATATACTATTTATCCTTCAAAAATGTATTTCCCCTTTACGATACTCAAGCTCTTGGAAATTAATCCTCTCGCGATAAAACAGACGTACATTTTATAGCTTAATGATATGGAAACCACAGAAACCAACGAATGGTAAGAAGTCACACGACTATATTATTTAATTAACACTTTTGTAGAGAAGAGAATCCACGAAATTCTCTCTGTTTCTTTCTGTTGAAAAAAACATGAAAAACTTGTATCTTAAAGCACAAGTCGGAGTTGGTGCTATATATGTATAGAAAACGAAGTGATGCATGCGAAGAATACAACTGTTTGAGTGGACAATTGAACCACAACCAATGTATTGGTTCGTTAAAAAATCTTCTACCATTAAATTATATGGAGCATGGTACGTAGTGGGAATGGGCAGTCCACTCCAATTGTTATATCCATTAAATTCTGATTGGTTACAAAAACCAATATAACCAATTACCAAAACATTTAGTCAAACCAAATCGATCGAGCCTAAAACAAATAATGATGTCAACCTAAAGACACATCACACTAGTCTTAGTGAGATTTTCCATATAAATACCTCATTTTCCCTCCACATCTTATGAATGTAGTATTTCAAAATCTTCTTGTAACTTTCAATTCCTTTTCATTTCTATTTACAACCTTTCAAAATCTCAACTATTTTTTTAAATGATTATCCACCTTAGAAATGGTAGTCCAATTGTCCAAATGTGCGTTGTTCACTTGCTAGTTCACCTTACCGACATAATTTTTGTCCCAAACACACGAGAATGAGATTTACGAATTATCCACCACAAATTCAAGCGGATCTACCTGTAAAAAAATAGCAAAAGCAAAACAACAAATAAATTAGATTCTCCACTACTATAAATTCCTCCCATTATATAGAGAAGACAAAAAAAAAGGAAAACTTACAAAAAAATAATGCTAAAAGAAATGGGGACTAATAATCACAACTTTATCCTCCACCTCCTCCGTCTCACCGCCGCCGTGCTCAGCCTCTCCACCACCGCCTTTGCAATCGGAGTAAACTACGGCACCCTCGGGAACAACCTGCCGCCGCCCGCCACGGTGGCCAACTTCCTCAAGACGCAGACGATCATCGACAGCGTGAAGCTCTTCGACGCCAACCCGGACGTCCTTCGAGCCTTCGCCGGCAGCGGGCTCTCCGTCACCGTCACGATTCCCAACGGCCTGATCCCGTCTCTCGCGGACGTCGGCGCGGCCCGCGGGTGGATAAATGACAACATTGCCCCCTTCCACCCGCAGACCAAGATCAACCGAGTTCTCGTGGGGAACGAGATAATGGCCACCCTCGACGATAATTTGATTTCCAATCTCGTCCCCGCCATGAAAGCTGTTCATCAAGCTCTGGTCCAGGCCGGCATTAACGACGTTCAGGTGAATTATTATCTCGTGACCCTATTAATAAGTTGTATGAGACTTATTATTCGGAAATATGTCTAATGAACCTATTCGTTAAACACGTGATATTATGATGCATGTGCAAATTTTAAGTCTGTATTGGCTTTCGTTTAATGAGGTGTGTCAATAATTAAATGGTACATAATTCATAATTGAATATCTTTCAACAACTTGAGTTATTGAGAGCAACGAGTTCTCGACATAGTAATAGAGCTTTATGTGATCGAGATGTTTTATATATGTTCGAACTGACAACCCCATTTGTTAAGCACATGGTATTCGGACCTGTGCAAACTTAAGGCCATATATGAAGACTTTAGTTTGATGGGTGTTTGTTAGTACGTAAGTACTATGGTATATGACTCGTTATAGAACCTGTCACAAACCAACTGGTCACAATAACTCGAGTTGTTGTGAGAGGGTCATATATGGATCACAAAAAAATCACTCGTTTCGATATTAATCTTGTTGAGAAAAACGGGCTACGTACACACCTGCGGATGGACATCCTGCAAGGTTACTGCGCTGGAGATCACACAACATCGTTTTCCCCTTGATTTTGCGAAATGCGCATTTTTTCCGGTTTTTCTCTTCGCCTAACCTTATCTTTCGAATTCTTAATTCTACATTTGAATATTGATGTTATATAAGCGTGTGTGAATTTTCACTATATATTGAATCCACATGCGATTAGTTATTTTAGTATACTATGAAAACGATTAAAACCATTAACCCACAATCCACTTGCTCGACCCGAACCAACAAGCCCGTGCTAAACTTCCTTTCTTCTTTGTGGGCTGCAGGTAACAACAGCCCACTCAATGGGCATCCTCAAAGCCTCCGACCCACCAAGCGCCGGCCAGTTCTGGCCCGGCCACGACGTCACAGTCTACGCACCGATGCTCGAATTCCTCCGCCAGACCAAAGCCCCATTCACCGTCAACCCGTACTCCTACTTCGGCTACTCCCCACAGATGGCAAACTACGCCCTCTTCCGGCCCAACCCGGGGGTCCACGACCCGGTCACGGGGATCACATACACCAACATGTTCGACGCCACCCTCGACGCCACCTACACCGCCATGAGGAAGCTGGGCTTCCCCGACGTGGGCCTCCTCGTCGGCGAGACGGGCTGGCCCACTCTTTGTCTCCCCGGGCAGCTGGAGTGCACGGTGGAGAACGCCGCGTGGTACAATTCCGAGCTCGTCAGACGGAGCGTTGACGGGGTGGGGACGCCGTTGGTGCCCAATAAGAGGATCGGGATTTTCTTGTTTGCTTTGTTTAATGAGAACGAGAAGCCCGGCCCGATTACGGAGCAGAATTGGGGCCTGTTTAGGCCCGATATGACTCCCGTTTATCACTGCGGCGTCTTGCGCTCCGAACAGGTTGGTTTGTGGACTTCTCTTAATCTCTCTCTCTTTTCATGCATTCTCATCAACTGATAATTAAACAAAAATCCACGTAATATCATCCATCTTAGTACGTCATTTAAGGGTGGGCAACAGTTCAGTTCACCCCCGAATCGAATAGTACCAAATCAGATCGGATGGAATATATTTCGAACCGATGAATGATTTAAGTACGAAGAAAAAATGTATTATAATTGAATTGGACCAAAATCGAATTAAATGAACCAAACATGCTTTTGATTCGATTCTGATCCTCATTTTTACTTTTTTTTTTGTCGTATCCTATCCCAATTTGATCAAATTCTGGACCAAATCGACTGATACCCAACCTAACGTCATTAACTTAGAATCTAATATTTTCATTCTTTAATCATAAACATAGAGTTGTCATTTTTGTTACTTTTTACATGTTGTCATCTTAAAACTTTTCCTTTTCCTCAACTATAAATTAGATGGTTGACCAAATGAATTTTTTTATAGTAAAACATTATATTTATTGAAGTCAAACAGAGTCAAATATAATCCCTTTCGTATAATTAGAATCATTTTTCACGTAATTCAATATTGGTAATTTTTTACATGCAACTGAGGTTAGCGGGAAGAAAAAGTCTATTCTAAGATTCAAATTTAGAACTTCCAAATTAAAAATCAGTGACGAGATCACTAGATCAAACCATTATTTGCAATTGTCATTGATTTCATGTTAGTAACTATTGTATAATAGCCATATTTGAGATTTTTGAATTTGGTCCTAGGTAATGTTTCTTTGATCAAACATTACTTCCTCAACTTGCTCATGTATAGTTTTTCATTTACCTCTTATGATCAATATATATATTGGCAGCCTCTGGCTCCCATCGGGCGTCAGGGCGGCCGCAAAACCCACAAAGGCAGCGCTGGTGGCGCAACTCCGGCGATGCCGGTGCCAGCCGCCGGTGGCGGGAAGAAATGGTGTGTGGCCAAGGCCGGAGCAGCGGCTCCGACATTGCAGGCAAACATAGACTATGCATGCGGGAATGGAGCGGATTGCAAGCCCATCCAGCCAGGAGGCCCGTGCTTCGAGCCCAACAACGTTGTGGCCCATGCTACTTTCGCCATGAACTCTTACTATCGGGCCAAAGGTAGCCTGGACTCCACTTGTTATTTCTCCAACACCGGCGTTGTCACCGCCGTCGATCCAAGTAAAATATCTGTCCCGCCCCCTATACTTTTCCTTTCTCCCTTCTGAGTACCCCACTTTATATATGAACTGATTTAACTATCTCCTTGTATGGATTAGCTTAGCTTGGTCCCAATTATAGTTTGACAAAGAAAAGATGATTAACCTAATTATCTGTTCTGGTCCTGGGTTCTTTCAGGTAACGCTAATTGTAAGTTCCCGTAAGGAAAGATCCACGAGGATGTGGAAAACGTGCACAAGTTGTTGCATTGGAGCTCTAATTTGACGGGAGAGGTGCGGACCAAGTTTATGAATTGACAAATCGTAAATCAAAATTTTGGCTAAAAGTTTTTTTTGTAAAATTTTATTTTAGGAATTGTAGTATTTGAATTTGTCACTATTTGACAACTTTATTCTTGATGTAATTTTTGGGTATGTGCAAAAATGAGTGTTCGTATATGAGATAGCTTGTTCGAATAATTAAAAGACGATTTTTGAAACAGTTAGCAAAAGTTCATGCAATGTCATCATGTAGAGATGTCATGAATATGAATTGTTGTTGTGTGTAGTAAGGATTGAAATGTGCTTCATGTCGACGTAGTTTAATTTATAATGAAAGCTGCCACGTCATAGACAAGTAAAAGAATGAATTACTACGACATAAAAGGCAAATAAGTTCGAAATAGTTTCATTAATCACTATGATAATTTGATTAATATGACCGACAAACAAGACTCATCCGGTCAAAGCGGACCGTGTAGAAAGCTATAAGCATCACATTAGAAGAGATTGGATTCATGGCTAGACATAACCAATCTCCACCACCACATTACCGAGTTACATAATGATTGAAATTGCTGAAACAGTATACGTAATTAGAAATATTCATCAACTTAAAATTATTAATTAGCAGTCGGGTAAGAAGCTTGCATGGCAATGCCACAACGACCGCCTTCATCCGACACATCCCTCTCCATCTTCATATAACCTTCCTCCCCCCAAGTCTCTCCCCACGAGTTCTTTATCAGCCAGTACTTCATCCCGTCCTCGCTCTCCCCATACCCAACCACAGTCACCGCGTGGTTCAGCCTCGTCCCGCACTCGCCGGTGTAGACCCCGCTATGATAGAACTGGAACGAGTCCCCGCCCGCATCGATGGCCACCGAGATCGGCTGGTTCGCCGCGGCACGCAGCAGCGCCTCCTCGTCGTTCCTCGGAACATCTTCGTACCCCGTGATCATCACCCCTCCGCCGCTCGCCGCACCAATCGGCCTGCCAGCCTTGCACGAGCCGTCGGCTGCGGTATAAGGATAGTCGGCCTCAGTGGCCATGGTGCCGCCCAAGTTTTGAATGATATACCTGTAACAAATATAACTCTGTCAAATTACATAACAACACTCAATAAATAAATAGTGCTCGTAGTATAAGATAATACTAGTTGTCGGAACGAACCTGAAGGCTTCGTCCATCACCCCTCCGTCGCACCCGTTGTTGTACCCTCTCCTGTCGCAATCCACCAGCTCCTGCTCGGAAAGTGACGTTAGCTCCCCGCTCGTGATCTGGCTGATCCCCTCCACCGCGGCCACGGCGGAGAACGCCCAGCAGCAACCGCACCGGCCCTGATTCTTAACCGCCGTAACAGCTCCCTTCTCCCGCCAATCCACGGTGGCAGCTGGCACGTCATCATTTCCACTAGCCGCCTTTGCGTACTTGAAAGGTGAATCAACAGTACTACCATTACTCCTCGTAATGTAACCCTTGAACCCGGTGTTGCTCTTTAGGAACTCCTCGTTGGTCATGTCGGCAAACTGGTTGACTCCCAGCTTGTAAGACGACGTCGTGTTGTTGTTGTTGTTGTTCCCCGCGGCGTTGAAAGACTCAATGCGGGCCACGTTGACTTTGAATATCTGGTACCGTCGCTCCTTCTCTGCTGAGGTGACGTAGACTCGTCCGTGACTGATCATCCACTGCTCGTGCATCTGATGGATGAGAGCATCCGTCAGAGGGGCGGCACGAGTAGCGGCTACGGACGAGTCGATGGTGGCAAGCAGCAGTAGCAGCGCTGCTGCTGCGGCCACCATGATAGCCAAGCTGACCGAGTCAACGAGGTGCGCCATTGATATTTGGGTGGTTAAAAGCTTGTTGTAATTTGTAAATGTTTAGGAAAGGGAACTGGCAGGTTACTAATTGGTGATTTCCATGATTATTGCCATCTTCATCTTTATATAGCCAGGCAGAAGACATCCTCGTACGTCTCCAAGTCACCATGGATTTGCTGGACTGCATTAGGAGACAAGGACCATAAATTCATGACAGTTTAATTCCAGTCTTTACTCTTTAGGCGCTATCAACGGAACTTGTTGGAGACTTCTCGCCATTTTTGCACTCAGTTTTCTCTGTTCATTCGTACACAGTAATTTAGGGGGTTTATACTCTTTGATGGAAAGCGATTGATGGCAGGGATGGTAACTTGTACCCATAAACTTGCGTATCCAACTCTTCTCGACCAAGCTAAAGAGGAGAATCTTTGTGTTAATCAAGCTACAAATAGAGTATGGATAATACCCGCAATGAAAATGGTGTTGATGGGTTGTGGATGTGTTTAAGTGTTCTCGCTCATCCCTATATTCGTAATTGTTTCATGTGTAATTCTCATACAAACTACAACAAGTTACATGTTATTTGATCTCTTTCTTCCATCTTCTATTAAAATTTAAAATAATAAATATAATTCTACCTCAATTTCACTTTTGCACTTCTTACCAAAAAAAAAAAAAAAAATCTTACCAAAAATAGTTCACTTTTGCACAATTATATATTTTTATCCCTTATTTCCGGTAATTAGTAAAGTATTAAGTAAATATTAGAAATGACATCCACTATTAATTATAGTTATTTTTTGTATTAAATTCGCATTGTATTTAATAATTTTAATAATTAAAAACTAATATAAATCACATTTCCTTTTTCGAACTACCATTGCACTGATACAACTACCATTGCACCGGGAACGGATCCCATGCATAACCTTGTGATTAGGGCTGATAATCGGTTCAGCTCGGTTATAACCGGAACCATTTAGTCAGTTCTCGGTTAACCATTAAGCACTTTGTGTTTACCATTAACCGGACCGTTTAAATTAGTCGATTAACCGTAACCGTATAGTCGGTTCTCGATAATAAAAAACAATTTAACATAGATATATGTCAATACAAAATCAACTCAATCCAACACAAGTACACAATAATATCATTCTACCGTCAAACTTTATGTAAAAAGCATACAACGAAACTCAACAATAATTACTCAACTCGTAAACCCCATCAAATTACATGGAAGTTTAATGTTACTAATTATTGTTGAACAACTGTGCGCAAGTCTGAATTTCTACTGTGTTCCTTCTAAAATTCTTCCTTTAATTTTTTTTTATTTGAATCTAGGGGTCGTTTAGTAGTTGCGATTGTTTTGTTGAGATTGTTACTATACATATATTGTTTAGAATGCATAGTTTTTTTGTTTTTTTAGCAGAAACAATGCATAGATTGTTTCTGTGATGTGACAGAAACTATCACTCAAAATGAGTGATTGTTATATCTCAACTTTTCGTTGTGATTGTTGAGATAGTTGAGTTGAGATTGTTTTGTCTAAGCTTTTAGCTGATGTGACATAAACAATCAGACATACCAAACGTTGTATTCTACAATGCATCAAATTCGACAATACATGTATAATATTATACATGTATTCACAACAATACATCCATTTAACAATCGCAACTTTCAAACAACCCCTAAGTCACGATTACAACTAGGATAGACAAGTGTCTTGTAAGCCTTCAAACATCCCATTATTTTCGGCCTATGTTTGCAGCTCATGGAAGTCTATTATTTTGGCTCTAACTATGAGGATGCTCGTAATCGGTTAACCGTTTAACCGTTTAACCATCGGTTAGTTATTAGCTAAATTTGACTACCGGACACCGACCGTTTATCATTTAATAGGTTATCGGTGTAACCGTTAAACACTCGCCACGAGTAGGGCTGATAAACGGTTATGCATAACCCAATCACCATCCGCCACATCAGCGCCCCTCATCTCTTCTGAAAAACTTAATTTTCCTCCATTAATCTTTAACGGACGAGTTGAGTAATTTAAGTAATAATTTAATTCTTTTTGAACAGTTAGATCAGATTAATTGTTCTCTTCAAAATGATATCCACTTTGATATATTTTTTAAACAAAAAATTGAGTCACTTTTTACCAGTATATACCAAATATATTGACTGGTATTAAATAAGAGCATTACCATATGGTATGAAAAAGCTTATCATGGTGGTATGAACATACCAAGACTGTAGGATGATTGAATACATGATAGTAGGAGTATACTAACTGTCATTTATGACTTTCAACATTGTGTACCACAAGATACCATCCCATACCAGGGTGGTATTGGGTATTTGTGTGGTATTTTTCGGTCTTGTATTTTGTTCACTTAGAAATTTGTAGATCCAATAGATCATCATGAACTTGTTCACCCATAAATTTTCAAAAAAGAATGTAATTAATATGAGTTTAGTGTATAGGTGCAATGATAGTTGTATCAGTGCAATGGTAGTTAAAAAAATGAATGTAATTATTAATTAATATGAATTTATGGGGTCGGTTAGCTTGCTAACCCATCTAAGGGGTTGGGAAAATGAAACTCATATTAATTATAGTTATTTTTTATATTAAATTCGTGTTGCATTTAATAATATTTTGGAATAAAAACTAATATTAATTATATCATTTTTTTAACTATCATTGCACTGATCCAACTACCATTGCATTTGTACACCGATACCATTCAAGTAATTAATATAAGTTTTAATTCAGACAAATTATTAAATGCAACCCAAATTAATTATCTTAAAAATTTATAATTAATACGGGTGTAATTTTTCCAACCCTTTTAGATAGTCATGCTATCTCACCTCAGTGGTTAGTAAATAAAAATTGAGGAGCGCCATATTTCATTGCACGTTTGTAATGTTTCCACAAGTAAAGACAAATTCAAGAAGTTACGTTGCTCGCAGAGTATGTTTTGGTTTTCCACAAATATAACTTGATGAAATTGCTAAAAATGCGCCACAAATTGCTTTGCTTGGCTTGCCTATGGTCAAGTCCAAAAAACCCACACAACACTTCACATTAATTTTGGATAGAAGTGAACATTTATTGGG